CAGAAAAGAACCTTAAAGTGATCTTTAAATTTAATCTATGCTCACTGTAAAGTCTGTTGTAATAACTGGGCCTACAAATTTACCTTAATTGTGAGCTCAACTATAAAAAGTAGGGCTGTCAATTAATCGCAGTTAACTCACGCGATTAACTCAAAAAAATTAATCGCGATTAATCGCTTATGCCAGATATGCGAAATATTCATATGCCCCTTCATGCTTCAGCCACCATTCCAGAGGACATGCTTCCATGCTGATAATGCTCGTTAAAAAAAATGCATCCATTAAATTTGTGACTGTACTCCTTGGGGGGAGAACTGTATGTCTCCTGCTCCGTTTTACCCGCTTTCTGCATATATTTCATGTTATAGCAGTCTTAGATGATGACCCAGCACATGTTCGTTTTAAGAACACTTTCACAGCAAATTTGACAAAATGCAAAGAAGGTACCTGTGTGAGATTTCTAAAAATAGCTACAGCACTCGACCCAAGGTTTAAGAATCTGAAGTGCCATCCAAAATCAGAGAGACGAGGTGTGGAGCATGCTTTTAGAAGTCTTAAAAGAGCAAAAACAACAAGGAGTCCAGTGGCACCTTAAAGACTAAGAGATTTATTTAATCATAAGCTTTCGTGGGTAAAAACCCCACTTCTTCATGTTGCATCTGAAGAAGTGGGGTTTTTACCCACGAAAGCTTATGCTCAAATAAATCTGTTAATCTTTAAGGTGCCACCGGACTTCTTGTTGTTTTTGTCGATACAGACTAACACGGCTACCCCCTGATACTTAAAAGAGCAACACTGATGTGGATACTATAGAACCCAAACCACCAAAAAAGAAAATCAACCTTCTGCTGGTGGCATCTGACTCAGATGATGAAAATGAACATGTGTCAGCCCACATTGCTTTGGATCATTATCAAGCAGAACCCATCATCAGCATGGAAGCATGTCCTCTGGAATGGTGGTTGAAGCAGGAAGGGACATATGAAACTTTAGCGCATCTGGCACGTAAATATCTTGCAACGCCGGCAACAACAGTGTCATGCGAACGCCTGCGCTCACTTTCAGGTGACATTGTAAACAAGAAGCGGGCAGCATTATCTCCTGCAAATTGTAACCAACCTTGTTTGTTTGACTGATTGGCTGACCAAGAAGAGGGACTGAGTGGACTTGTAGGCACTAAAGTTTTACATTGTTTTATTTTTGAATGCAGTTTTTTTTGCACATAATTCTACATTTGTAAGTTCAGCATTTATGAGTAACAGATCGCACCGCAGGGATGTGAAAGGGCCATTACTGACTGCACATATTTCAGAGACGTGAATTATGCTGCTGTAGTTGTAGCAGCAATAACTGAGCTGCTGCCCCTTGCTGGAGTCTAAGGTCTTGTGTAAAGGCATATCCACACCGCTCCGCAATTCAGACTTTGGGGGTGTGAACAGCAGTGTGCACTAAAGGGCTGTGCTGTAACTCCCCTGTGTGGACCCTGCAGGTGTGAACGAAAAGGTTCCTTCTTTGCATTTATGTAGTTCTGTTTGAAGAGGACTGTTAAGGAGAAGTAGGAACCTTTCAGTTCATGCCTGCATCGTCCACATGGGGGAGTTCTAGCAAAGCACTTTGGTGCTCACTGCTGTTCACACCCCAGTAGTCCAAACTAGTAGGCAGTTTAGATGTGTCCTAAGTCTAAGGCCTTGTCTAAGGATTTGCTCCAATGACAGCTATCAGTGTAGCTACACTGGTCCACCCTGGAGTGTAAACAGATAGAGTAATTGTTTGCAGACTGTCCGACTATACTAGGGACTGTGCTGGTGCAGCTCGGATGACTGTCATTATAGCAAAGCCGCAGCCAAGACAAGCCCTGAGAGGATGGTGGAGCTTTCCCTCTTCATGCACACAAAACACATCGAGTCTTTTCCCTGCTCTGTAACTTCAGGTATGTCTTCACTGCAGAGCGAACTCAGTGCTCAGCACCTGGGTCTGAGCAGCAGGTTAGCCTAGCCCAGGTGTGAGCAAGCACACTGCAAATTCCTACCCAAGTTACTGTGTTCTCACAGGTGCTGTTCTCACCAGTGTGTTACTGGAACGTCTGTGGGCATATCCCATGGCTCTCCACGCTGCAATAAGCTGATCCACTCAATCATTTTTTCAGTAAACTGAGGGAGAACCTGTCTGTCCTTCTGGGAACAAGGGGGAACTCTGGGAAGGCACTGGAAGACTAGCAACCTGAGTGGTTTAGCTTGTGTCCTCAGCAATGTAGCCAGGTTACCAGCCCCAAGGTAGCGCTGTAGCCTACAGCTCCAGACAGGCCAGCCAGCCCACATTCAAGACACCACCTCAACTGGTTTCCAGGCCACTTTTACTTTGTCTCCACTCCTCAGATACTAGGATGATGGGTATCATGGTCTCTAGACAGACAGACAAACAGAGGCCCTGTGTCTCGAATCTGACTCTGGGGTCCTCACACCTCCCTGACAGCGCAGCTTAATGAAGACTTGCTGCCAGCTCTTCCTTTAGTCATCAGAACCTCTGAGTCCCAGCTCCTCAAGGAAACTTCACTAGAGTGGAAGGGCTGCACAGCAGTCAAGGCAGCAACTAGCTGCATAACTTTCCAGTGTAGCATATGACAGCAAGTTCCTCATACAACAGCGGTGATGTGCATTCTCCCAGCCTGTTTCTCTCCCACCTACAGGGGTCAGGGCAAGGTTGGGGGAGGAAGGAGGGGAGAGAGAACGGAGCTGCAGACATGGTTGTTTCCTCTCCTCCACTCAGGAAGGGGTAGCTCTGTGATGAATCTTCTCCATGCTGCTATGATTGGAAGGAAATGAATGGGTCACTGATTTAAAAAAAAAAAAAGCCATCTCTGCCAGATGACATTAATATGAACAATATACCTTAGAATACCACACCATGAAAACTATTTAAATACGATATTAATTGGCCGGGAGAAATGTAAAACACAGACATAAGGGACATAAGGCTGCAAGTCTCACTTAATCAGTTAAAAAACAAAACAATACAACTACATGAGACTCCATTCGAAAGAGGCAGGGCCAAATTCTGGCCTTATCAGGACAATAGCCGGGGGGTGGGGGAGGACACGGACAGACAGAATAGCAGCATCAAACAGAAGCCCCCTGAGCTATCCTGTAGGCACAAAGCAGGATGGCTCAGAAAGCATGGAGAGCAATGGGCTTTGCGGCGCTCCTTACTGCTACCCCAAAAAGTATGCCCTTCCCCCTCACGCCAGCTGATGAAGGGAGTCAACTCACAGAAGGTGGGGCAACACTAGCTACACTCCCCAAGATGCTGATTACATCTCTTTAAGATTTCTTTGTGCCACACAACTGCTGAAATGAATGGAATGGGAGAGGGATAGCTCCGTGGTTTGAGCATTGGCCTGCTAAACCCAGGGTTGTGAGTTCAATCCTTGAGGGGTCCATTTGGGATCTGGGGCAAAAATTGGGGATTGGTCCTGCTTTCATAGAATCATAGAATATAAGGGTTGGAAGGGACCCCAGAAGGTCATCTAGTCCAACCCCCTGCTCAAAGCAGGACCAATTCCCAGTTAAATCATCCCAGCCAGGGCTTTGAGCAGGGGGTTGGACTAGATGACCTCCTGAGGTCCCTTCCAACCCTGATAGTCTGTGACTATGACTCACAGGAAGCTGAAACGTCACAATCTGAACGTTTCCTTGGAGCTGGTTTTAGAACACAACTACAGGTACTTGCAGCTGCTACAATTCTAAAATACTGGAGATTTGAAAAGCGGTTAAGATGATTTAAACCGTTTTTAAAAGGAAACCACACACACAGACCTCTACTGGCTCACAATTTGTATATTAAATTTTCTCTGGATTCAAATTCAAGTATCAAGTTATAGATGCCTGAATGAGCATCTGCAATGAAAATAGCAACTAAGCCCTAGCTACAGAGATATGAATAGGTACTGCAACAAGAAGTCATTTCACTGCCTTATAAAAGATCAGGTGAGTAAGGTTATATCTTTTATTGGTCCAATAAAAGAAACTGCCTCACCCGCCTTGTCTCTCTAATAGCCTGGGGCCCACATAGCTACAACAAGGCTGCATATTATAAAAGATCACTTACTTAGAAACCTGCGTATTTACTCAATACACTCAAAGGTCTGAATCTGTTACTTTCCTTTCACAACTAATATTTCAACTTTTAGGAGGAATAAAAATCCCCTAAAATTCAACATAATGAATTGTCAAACATTTCTCCTATCAGTACTGCTAAAAAGACATTAAAAAAGATAAAACCAAAGAGGTATGGCCCTAATATTTACCGTACACTATCTATTTCCCTAGCTTGACAACAGAAAGCAATAGATTTAGATTAACAGTTATAATAACCCACACCTGCACTCGGTGTTTCATTTTAAAAAAAGAGTCAGAACTTTATTTGTACTGTAACATCTTTCTTAGCCTTCCCAAAATTCATCAGTCTACTGTTCTTACATTTAAAGATGGTCTTAATTAAACTAACTTCACACATATCTCACAAATACTTTAATGAGGGTCACATTATAGCAGTCGATACTTCACTATACTAACCATTTCACCAGGTGTTACTGTATGAAAGTTCCATTGAATCTTCACGAAGTTGACTGGAGCAATGAATATTTCTAGAACACTTTACAACGTAAAAGTTAGATTCATTTCCACAACCAGTAGTAATAATGTTAGCAGTTTCTGTGTTTAAAAGTGTATCTCCTTCCTAGGTTTCTGTTGTTTGTTATGAGGAACTGGGAGTGCATAAAGTTCAACTGCTTCTAAAAGAAATTAAAACAAATACACATACAACATAATCAGCAGACACTCCCACTGCTCAGAGGCAAACACCTTCATTACAGATCTACAAAGCACCTACAACGTTTTGTGTTCGCAGGAGGAAAGCTAAAGAATGTGACAGAAATGTCAGCTTCCCGAATAAAGTGGCACAGTGAAAATAGGCAGCAACTATTATATTATATTTTTAATCACCTTTGCAAATCAGTGGATCCATCTTCCAGCATGAGATCTGTCTGTACCATCTCCTGTTTCAGTTCTCCAATTTCTGAGGCAATTGTGTCAATGAGCTAGAGAGGGACAAAAATAGTATGACGTCAAGCAAGCGGAAGAGGCGTGGAAACCAAATGGACAAGGTTAGTCACTAGACATTACAAACCTTTTATCCCATTCTATTTGGACTTCCCTTACAATAGAAAAAATAAGGGTGAGGGACAGACTGTACTTGCTCTTGGAGGCAGGACAATTGAACTTTAACTACACTATATAACATCCCAGGAAATTAGATCAGATTATTATTTTAATTAGATATATTAATACCGTAGTTTCAATAGGCACAAACATAGTAAGGTATTAATTTTAAAAAAACCACATGCTTTGACTACTGTAACATTCAATTCTGCAATTAAAAAAAAAAGTTCCATAAAAACATTTTTAAAAAAACCACAAACTTCAAAAGTTCTTTCACAGGTACACAAAACGATATTTTCAACTTTCTTTGGTACAAAAATAAATATAAATATATTTGCACAAATAAAAGAGTAATTACTTTTTGCACTAACTCTTGGACTGCAGCTGAACAGACTGGTTCTTAGTTAAATGATGCCGTGTTCCCGTATTTTAACTGAGGGATCAGGACGAGGCTTCAGTTTAGGGTTACTGAGAATTCTCAGTGACTGAGCAACTATGGGAATTATGGCATATATGAATCAAAAGTTTGCAAATATTTTGATAGGAAATAGCAGAAATTGATTCTCCCATCAAGTTTACAAGTCATAATCATTCAGCCTCCTATACTTTCCACAGGGATAGCATCGAAGTGTGCTTGGTACATGATGCAAGTGAGATGGAATAAATACAGGAGTAGTCAGATTTTTAAAAATAAAATCGCCAAAAGTAAGCAAAGCTTTAAAAATAAATAAATAAATAAATAAATAAATAAAAAACCAAACCCTTTCCAACCCAACTCAAAGCTATCTTCTTCATTACATAAGAGGCAATAACAAGATCTCAGTAATATCGGTAGCCTTACAAGAGCAGTGTTTTCAAAGTCCTGTACTATTTCCAAACAACATTTTTCCCCATTATGTCATAATCACACGGATACTTTCCTCCGACCTCAGACAGGCATGCCTTCTTTTATTGCACATGATTATTTTGATCAATCCAAAGGAAAGGTTTCAGTCTCCATTTAGATTACAGCTCTCCAGTCCTGTTATAGGCCCCAGGGTTTATATAATAAAATTACAGGAAATACAGTACATCCTTCTATCTTTTCATAGGCTTTTTTCCCTTTCAGGATCACTATCCCAGTAAGTAATATGAAGTACCAGTGTACCACTGTTTTGACAATTTACAAAAGACTTCCTTGTATTGAGTAGGGAAAATGTGCATAGTGCATCCTTTGAACCACTACAGCGAATTGGGAAAAAGCACGGTCAGTCTCAAAGCATCAGACGTAGCCACATCGACAGTGAATTGTACTGAAGTCGTTTTCTCACCCTAGACTAGAAGGCAACCCACCTCTTGTGCACTACACACCAATGGAAATGGCATCTTCACTGCCAAGAACCGAGCCGTGTATTCAGTTGGCTTTTACTACATGGGGCCAAATTCATTCCTTGTTTTACAGTAGGGATGAATCCAGCCCAGGCAGTCCTGTTTTATATGATTAAAATAAAGAGCCTTTGTTCCCATACTTGAAAATCTGAACTAAAAGACATCGCTGGCCAAACCTAATCCAATTCTAGCACGTGGTCATGTATTTCTGAGGTTAGAAACCGTGAACAACAAGCAGCCAATCAACCAACCAGCTACTGTGAAGTACTAGGTAGGAGACGCTTCCTAGAAATAATTGGCAACCCTGTTGGTGGGAAAAAAGCAGGCTAGTCCTTGATAGACCTAGGCCACAAGGATGAATGATCCCTTTGAGGTATTATCTATTTTATGTGCCTCCCATTATCACAGTATCTGAGCACATTATAATCTTTAATGCATTTATCTTCAAAGCATCCCTACAAAGCAGGGAAGTGCTATTATCCCCCATTTTACAGGTGGGGAACTGAGCCACAGAGATTAAGTGACTTGGCCAAGGTCACACACAAGTCTGTGACATAACAGGGAACTGAAACCAGATCACCAGGCTAGATTTAATCATAAGCTAAACTAGTCAAGAAATATATATGCCAAGTCCTACACAACCAGTACGACTTATTGCACTTTTCTGGCTTTTATAACCTTCTTGCTGTTCCTGACTCCACTCTAGTTTTTCCTCTCTCTTTCCTGTAATAAATCATAGCGTATCTTTTTTATGAATTGTCTTCAGGGTCTGCTTCTACTTTTCTCTCTCTTTTCTCCTTTTCCCTAAATTGTGCATGCTACCTCCTCCATTATATATTCTGTCCCTCTTTCTGTCACTTCTCTCTCCCACAATAAAATCTCACACGTATTTATACAGATATGCACAAAATACATACAGAGTGCTTCCCTCTCCCCTCACCCAAACTTATCCCATCATCTGTGCACTCAAACACAAGGCTGGGAAATTTTTCCAGAGAACTAACTCTTCTGGCTGCAGACAGAGACAAGAGATTCAGAATCTCACTGTTCAGCAAATGAGTTACAGTAGAACCTCAGAGCTATGAACACCAGAGTTACGAACCGACCAGTCAACACCACCCCTCATTTAGAATTGGAATTATGCAATCGGGCAGCAGCAGACAGGAAAGGAAAAGAAAAGCAAAGCAAATACAGTACAGTACTGTGTTAAATGAACTACTAAAAAAAATAAAGGGAATGTTTAAAAAATAAGATTTGACATGGTAAGGAAACTGCTTATGTGCTTGTTTCATTTAAATTAAGATGGTTAAAAGCAGCATTTTTCCTTCTGCATAGTAAAGTTTCAAAGCTGAACACATTAAGTCAGTGTTCAGTTGTAAATTTTTGAAAGAACCACCATAACGTTTGTTCAGAGTTACGAACGTTTCTGAGTTAAGAACAAACTCCATTCCCAAGGTGTTCGTAACTTCGAAGTTCTACTGTACCATCCTTCCCCACCCCATCAAGATATAGGGAAAGGGTAATGTTCCAGGACTCTCCATTTTTCATATCAGCTTCCAGCTAGTAGGTGTTTGATAAATTGGAAAACTCATGCACCTTCTCTCTCCCTCTCCAACCTGCCTGACTTCTGGAAGAATGAAGGAGAATTCTCTCTCTCTCTCTCAAGGTTCCAGTACTTTATACCTCAGTTCTGTCTCCTGACTGCTGCAACAGAGAAGTGTGAGTCTACTACTCTACCTCTTCCCTCAGCTTTCTGGCTGAAATATGGATGTTTCCACTACTCTACCCTTCCTACAGCCTTCATTTTTTGAGTCTCTCCTCACAGCAAATACCTCAACTGTCCATCTCTGCTGTTGCTAAGAGCTTTCCAAAGAGGCAGTAGAATGCAACTGAACTATTTTAGTCAGTTTCACTATCATTGCAGAGAACTGAAAACCTGAAAGATTGTGGCTTGTTTCCATTTTGCTCCTGTTCAAAACAGCAATGAGCAGCAGCAGAGGCACTGGAACAATCTGTCTGCACATTCAGAAAGGCAGCAGAGCAATGGGTTAACCTTGGATTAGCAGGTTTTTTGCACAATAAGGGCTTGAAACGGTTATTTGGGGGGTTTGTTTGTGTTTGTTTTGGAAAAAAGAAGAAAGCTTCGGTTCTGCAGAAAGCGATGGCACTTGTCCTCAGAAGTTTCCTATTCACTGTGGGAAAATAGAGTTTTCAAACCCTGAGCATGCTAAGTGGCTGAAATGCTGGAAGGGATGAGTAACCACTTACTTCCAGGACATTTGCTGCTTCCTTATTTCTTCAATCCAAGTAATTTAAGAAAGAGACATCATCAGCTATTATTAAAATGGAAGATTATGAGTTAGAAAACCTGGGTTCGAACTCTTGATTGCCAATGATGCACTGTGTGACCTGTAATTCTATTTACCTTTATAAAGTATGAGATCCTCCAATGAAAATCACTACACAGAAGCAGATTTTTAAAATATATTATTAATTAATTATTATTAAAGGATTATTTGGTTAATTCCAACTCTAAAATTGACCTTTGCAATATGAAGTATAAAGATGACAGGGACATCTCTGAAATCAAGAGTGTGACATTTTGGATCTTTAGGAGCATCCTTAGACCTATGCTATGTAGGTGGTGACACAGAGTCCCCGCTCCTCCTACTCAATCCTCCTGTTAGAGTGCCTCCAACAACACCACAGAGAATGGAGGGCCTGATCGCAAGGAGGGAGGAACTACAATAGTACCTCACGCTTCTTTGCACAAGGTCTCATAAGCCCTAAGGTCTGCCCTGCAAGCATCTTACATAATGCAAAGATTCAGAATAACTGTGTGGACTACTCTTAATTGGCTCATCAAAAGAGGGAGCCACTGTCTTTAAGAAAAGGAGTACTTGTGGCACCTTAGAGACTAACCAATTTATTTGAGCATGAGCTTTCGTGAGCTACAGCTCACTTCATCAGATGTTTACCGTGGAAACTGCAGCAGTCTGCTGCAGTTTCCACGATAAACATCTGATGAAGTGAGCTGTAGCTCACGAAAGCTCATGCTCAAATAAATTGGTTAGTCTCTAAGGTGCCACAAGTACTCCTTTTCTTTTTGCGAATACAGACTAACACGGCTGTTCCTCTGAAAACTGTCTTTAAGAAGACATTATCAAATGAGGCAAAGGGAACAGAGATTACTTGAGCAGTGACTAGCAACCCATGTGACTTCCACGATAGGTCTCCCTTTTAATTTCAGGTGCTTTCTTAGGATTTAGCAGGAACAGAGGAAGGATTCTCCAGCTGCCCTCTGGCCGCCACAAAGGCAATTGGTACAGAGAAGTCTATCAGGAGTGGGGGAAGGAAAAAAGTCATTTCTCTAATTACCTGTATGACTTTGGCATCCCAGAGGTCTACCAACCTTGCCCACTCTTCAATTGTAGAGGTCTGCTCTGCTCTCCTCAGTAGCTACAGCGGAGGCAAAACTGGGTGTTTTAGATATCTCAGCCATGATCATGCA